CTCTTACGATAGCCAGGTACGGCTCGTTGTCGGGCACGTTGCGCCAAAGCCAAGGCCCGCCCACCTGGCAGGGGTACATCACCTCGGCGTCGATGCCATCCCGGTCTTGCTCTTTGATTCGCTGCTCCCCCGGCCCGGTGCCGGCGGTGCCTTCATAAGTCTGCCCGAATGGAGCCCAGTTTTCCCTTCCCTTTCCGCCGTACAGGTCGGAGGGCACTTCCCGAGCCGCAGTTCCTTCGATAACCCAGGCGTCACCGCCGGTAGCGGTCCTAATCAGACGAGGCGCACGTTCCCGGAACTTCTCGGGTATGCGCGGCACCCAATTTTTGGAATCCACTTCCAGGTGTGAGTCGCCGGAAATGCATTGGTACGCTCTGGTTGCCATAATCTCCTCCGTTTTGGTTGGGTGTTCTAGACCGCAGCAGTGGGTCTATGTGCCAGGGCGGGTAGTGTCTGAATCCGCCAATCTCCGGTCTAAACCGGCGCCGCCGATTCTGCGTGTGCCACTTTGAGAGTAGTAACCTTCTACCGGCTAAGAATAAGCCCAATCGGCGGCCCATGCAACCAAAAACGGAGAAACTGCCGCTGCAATGTGGCCTTCGGTGGCAGGTAACTGTTCAGAGTCGATGGGTGAACATCTCATGGGAGGCCCGTCTTTGGTCATGCCCAACCAACCTGAACAATCACTCCCCTCAACTGCTCTAACAGCCCGAACAATGCCCTCCCTGACATCCGCCCCTTGCCAACCCGCGCGGCCCCTATCTAACATGATACCTGCGATGCCGGACCATCAGCCGCCTGGCCATAGAGTATTGACGCAGGCAGCCATCTCCCGGACTCCGCCGGAACTAAATGGCATAAAATGGCAACAAATGGCACTGTTTAAAAAAATTCGTATCTGGGACCGTGCCACTAGCTACAAAAAATCGGTTAAAAAAGTGGCGTGATTTGTGCAAAAGCCTGCAAAAACCCGACTTTTCCTGGACAAACAGTGCCATTTTCAGGAAAAGCCCCGGCCCTACAAACGGTCCGGCGAAAAGACACAGCGTCCATCAACCGGCCTCCGTTATGTTCGCACTGCCCAGGGTAACTGGGCAGTCTTTGTGGGATGTTTTGTGCGATAGGGCAAGGTTTACCGAATCCCTTCCCCCTGGGAGAGGGCTTGGGTGAGGGCGTCCCCTCGACTCTGAGCAGTTACGCTGGCAGGTTTCAGTTGACAATATGCCCTCTCGATGGTAGAAAACGAGTAGGAAAAATCCCATAATGCTGGCTGGCCTGGCAGAAGCCAAACTGGCCTCTGAGCATTGGATAATTTAGGAGGCGAACCATGGGTGAGATACTGGGAATGGCTTCAACTCACTGGCCGCTGCTGATTCAGCCCGATGAGGGACATCTGTGGCCCTTCCAGATGACGATGAACCGGCTAAAGGACTTTCCGGAAGAGAAGAAGCCCATCTCCGCTTGGCCGGAGGCTGCCCGGGTAGAGTTTGGCGAAGACGAGGGAGTCTCGGCCCACGCAGAGCACCGGGCCAGGCTGCTCAAGTCCTTCCGCGTCATGAAAGCCGAAATTGAGGCCTTCAACCCTGACTTCATCGTCATGTTCGGCGATGACCAGTACGAGAACTTCAAAGAAGACATCATTCCCCCGTTCTGCGTCATGGCGTATGACGAATACGTGAGCTATCCCTTCAAGCGCAGCATGCCGGTAGGCAATGTTTGGGGAGAGCCGGAAGACCATGCTATCAAGATGCGCGGCAAGCCCGAAGTTGCCAAGTGGCTCACCAGCCGTCTGATTGAGGAAGGAGTAGACATGGCCTACTCCTACAAGCCGCTGCATTGGGAAGGGCTGGGCCACGCCTTTGTCAACATCCAGATGTTCCTCGACTATGACCGTCAGGGTTTCGACTTCCCCATCATACCGATCCAGGTCAACTGCTACGGCAGCAAGGTAATCCAGAACCACGGCGGCGCTCCTCTGGGCAACGGCGCTGCCGCTGATCCGCCAGGTCCCACCCCCAAGCGCTGCTACGAAGTAGGCCGCAAGGTCGCTCAGATCCTGAAAGACAGCCCCTATCGGGTGTGCATGTACGCGTCGGGCGGCTGGTCCCACGGGTTCCTGGTTGAGGAGAACGACTACCTCTGGCCCGACATCGATTCCGACCGGATCCGGGCCAAGCAGCTCCAGGAGAACCGGGAAGAAGAGTGGACCAAGATCACGGTTAAGGAAATTGAAGACTCGGGTCAACAGGAATTCCTGAACTGGGTCTGTCTGGCCGGCGCTATGGCCGAGATGGGCCAGAAGCCCCAGGTTTTGGACTACATCGAGACCATGATCTTTAACTCCGGGAAGTGCCTGGCGGTATACCGCCCATAGACCGGCGCCACTCCCAACGATAACCGGAGATGTCAGGACGGTTGCGGTTGCTTTGATGGCCGCAACCGTCTCAATTTGCGACATATCTGCACCCAGAACGGGCGCCACCGCAGTGGGTAGATTCCGGCCCAATGTCCTGGTACCGTCCGTCTCGTTTCCATTGGATCAATGTTTGTTAAGGGGAGAGTTATGGCTCTACGTCTGAAAATTGCGTTCTCCGATAACCCGCGCATCCTTCCTTTGCGTGACGGCACCGTCAAACCGCAAAACATCGAGTTGGATTTTGCCCCCATCGATGACGGCGGCGGCGGACTATTCCAAAGGAACCTGACTTTCGACGAGTTTGACGTTTCTGAAATGTCCATATCCGAGTCTCTGTTAGCCATCGAGCGCCGCGGCAATCGTGCTATCTGGGACTGGGTAAAAATTCCGGTGTTCCTGAGCCGGGGGCACGTGTGGGGCAGCCTGTACGTGAACTCCAACTCAGGGATTAACTCTTTGGCCGACTTCAAGGGTAAACGCATCGCCACGCCGGACTACGATATGACGGCGGCGTTGTGGTTCCGCATCACTCTGAAAGACCTCCACGGCATCGATGCCAGCGACAACATTTGGTACAACGGACGCACCAAGGAGCTGAGCCACGGCGGCGCTCTGGGTCTCGACAACCAGCCCCCGGTCGGCGTGGAGCATCACTGGTTAACAGTGGACCAGGCGATGGACATAATGCTTGACCGCGGGGAAATCGACGCCTCCACCGCCATCAGGCCTGGCGCCCCTGTAACCGTTGGCGATCCGAGCGTCATAGACCGGCACGGCGGCACTCAAATCCACGGCAACCCCAATATCAAAAAATTGCTGCCCGACAACGGAAAGGGCGTCATTTACGACTACTACGCCAAGACCGGCTTCTACCATAGCAACCACCACGTGATAATCCAACGGCGTATCGTGGAGGAAAACCCCTGGGTGCCAATGGAGTTGTTCAAGGCATTCCAAAGGTCTAAGGAAGTGGCCTACGAAAGGGCTGCCAAGCAGCTGAATGGCCGCTCCCAGAATGATTCAACAATCTTGTACTTTGCAGCGGACGACATGAAAGACCAAGCCCAGGCCCTTGGGGAAGACCCCTATCCCATTGGGCTGTTGAAAATGGGAAAGAACGTTGAGAGGGCAATCCAGGGCTCTCTCGAGCAAGGACTGCTCACCAAGCCGCTGCGGTTGGAAGACGTTTACCATCCCACAACGCTGGACACTTAACCTGTTGTGCCTGGCGATGGGCTTCTCGTTAACTCAAACCAGTCCAAAAACCGGTCCTGAAAACAAACAGATTCAGGCTAAAGGGGTAAACTGATGGCACTGACATTAACCATGGCATATTCGGCCAATCCAAGAATAGCGCCAATAGCTGATGGCACGGTTCAGCCGGAACACTTCAACCTAAATGTAGTGACCGTTGAAGGTGGGTTGCTGTTCTTCCGCAATCTCAAGTACGACGAGTTCGACTGTTCGGAAATGTCCATTTCCGAAACCATGCTGGCCATGGAACGGAGGGAGGTGACCAAGAAGTGGGACTGGTCGGCCATCCCGGTGTTTCCAAGCCGCGGCCAGTTCTGGGCCGGTATGTACGCAAACACAAAGTCCGGCATCAACAGTTTCGCCGACCTGAAGGGCAAGCGCATCGGAGTACCGGACTACGACATGACCGCCACGCTGTGGATGAGAATTCTGCTGAAAGACCTCTACGGCATAGAGGCCAGCGACAACATCTGGTACAACGGCCGCACCAAGGAGTTCAGCCACGGCGGCCCATTGGGTCTGCACCTGGAGGGACAGGAACCGGTGGGCATCGAGCATCACTGGACCACGTCAGACCAGTACTTGGACGTGATGCTGGACCGGGGAGAACTTGACGCCGCCATCATGACATCGACATCGGCGTTGCATCCGGGGGAAACGGTCGCTATGGACCGCTATGGCGGAACGCCATTAGTCGGCAATCCTAATATCAAACCCGTCTCGGACGACAACGGGAAGGGAGTGATCTCCGAATTCTTTAAGAAGACCGGCGCCTACCACTCCAACCATCACGTCATCGTGCAGAACCGGATACTCAGAGATCACCCGTGGGTCGCGATGGACCTCTTTCGTACCTTCCAACGCTCAAAGGAAGTAGCCTACGAGAGGGCTAGGAAGGACCTGGAAGGCTACTTCTACTTCCCAAGCAAGTCCTACGCTGAAGAGGCCTCCGTTTTCGGGGAGGACCCCTACCCCTTCGGCTTGAAGGCCATGGGGACGACTGTTTCCAGGGCGATCAAGGGCTCCCTGGAGCAAGGGTTGATTCGAAAGCCCCTGGAATTCAAGGACATCTACCACTACACCACACTAGATACTTAGAGCGAATCCACACCGCGCAATTTGGCCGGGGGTCCCGGCGGCAGGATCAAATAGCCGCCGGGACCCCCGGCCTTTTAATTTACCCCGATACGGGTCTATCCGATGCGGCCCTAGCGGTACCGGATTCTGGGGTCGAGCAGTCCGTAGAGAAGGTCTATAATCAGGTTAACGACCAACGTCACCGCAGCGATGACCAGGACGACGGCCTGTAGGACCACGAAGTCCCGGTGGGTTATGCTGTCATCAGCAGAGTGCCCATGCCCGGAACGACGAAAATGGACTCCACGATGATGACCCCGCCCAGCATACTGGCGAATTGGTAACCGGAAATGGTCACCACGGGGAGCAAGGCGTTCTTCAGGGCGTGGCGGCCTATCACCACCATCTCCTTAAGACCTTTGGCCCGGGCGGTTCTCATGTAGTCCTCCCGCATCACCTCGAGCATCGAGGAGCGGGTAACCCGGGAGGTAAAGGCCAGGTCGTTGAACGCCAAACACACAGCCGGGAAGAATAGTTGTTGGAGGTTGGTGAACGGTTCGTCCCATAGATTGGCATACCCCAAACGGAGGCAGCCAGTTGAAGGTATAGGCCAGCCCGTAGACCATCAAGATGCCCAACCAGAAGGTAGGCGTGGCAATACCAATGAGCGCGAATACCCTGCTGGAGTAGTCACCCCAGGTATCCTGCTTCACCGCGGATATGACCCCCAGGGGGACTGCAACGACGAATGCCATGAAGATGGCAATTAACGACAGTTCAATGGTGACGTAGAACCTGTTCTCCAATTCCTCCCAAACAGGGATTTTGTACCAAATGGATGTGCCCAAGTCTCCGCGCATGATATCCCAGAGCCAGTGACCGTACTGTGAGTAGATTGGGCGGTTGAGACCCAACTCCTCCTTGAGCTGTTCCAGCTGCGCAAGGGAAACCTTGCCCGCGTCGTCGTCGCCCCCGGTCAGGATCATATAGGCTGCGTCGCCCGGCACAATCCAGAACAGGGCGAAGACCAGCATGGTCGCCAGGATTATTGTGGGTATGAAGAGTGCCAACCGCCGGATAGCGTATTCCCTCAAGCCTTCCTCCGTATGTTCGCCACGGCGTGGGTGGCGAGATTGGGCTGGGCGGCCAATGCTCGCTTGGTGCCCGGCCAATTTAGACCCGCTGGTTTTTGGTACCTGTCGGAATAAACCCGCCGTTCACCAGCCATAACGTCGGGCTAATATCTTAACGCATCAATCGGTTCAATTTAAAGGTCGACCGGCTTGTTTTCGCCACGGCGTGGGTGGCGAGATTAGGCCGGGCGGCCAATGCTCGCCAGGCGCCCGGCCAATTTGGACCCGTCGGTTTTTGGTATGTGCCGGTAGGAACCCTTCGTTCACCAGCCATAACGTCGGGCAAACATTTTATCTCATGGATCCGTTCAATTTAAAGGGCCACCGGGAACTAGTTGTCGACGCAGCCTCTTTCATCGGGGCAGACAGCGTCGGGGTCCCACCAAACGTAGTCCCAACCGTGGAGTTGCTGGATGGAGTCAGGCGTGTTGAACCCCTGGAGCCGGTAGTCTATTGCAGCTCCTTGGTCCACCCAGGTGTTGGGTACCCAGTGGCCTTCCCCCTCCCGAAGAATCTCTACCATTTCCGTAAACTGGGCCCTCCGGGCGTCCCGGTTTAACTCACTGGCCTGGGACGCCATCAACTCACTGAGCCGCGGCATACTCCAGTTGTCTGGGTTCTTTTCGATGTCGTCCACATAGACCTGTAGCAGAATGTCCGCCGGGTCCCGGGTTAGCAGTCCAATGCCGCCCACCATCGTAGCGTGGTGAGTGCCATCCCTCGTCATAACGTGGTAAGCGGCGCCATCCACTGGGCGGAGAGTGAAATCAATCCCCAGATCGTCCCGTAACTGCGCCATGGCTACTTCCGAAACCTTGACCGAGGTTGCGTTGTTGGAGCCGTTTAGCTCCAGTTCTATGCCATCGGCGTAACCGGCTTCGGCCAAAAGGCGCTTGGCCTCGGCTATGTCCCTGGGGTCTTTGCGTCCGTCAGCAGTCCGGCGGAATCCGGGGACGTCGCTGAGGTCATCTTCAATGGCTATGGAGCCTTTGGGGAAGAAAGTTGCCGGTGAGGCGAAGCATCCGTAGGATTCAGTGCAGTAGACGATGTCCACCACGTTCTGGCGGTCTAACCCCAGGTGGAACGCTTTGCGCACTCGTGGATCATCGAACGGAGGCTTGTTCTGATGCAAGATGAAGAAGGTCCCGGAGCCGCCTAGCAGCAACCTGGCACGGAGCCTCCCGTTGGACTCGTCCTGTAGCCGGTACATGTCCTCCGGCCGGAAGGTGGACTCCATGGACCGTCGGTTACGTGGGCCTGACCAACCTGGAGGGCGGCGTACACTCTGTTGATGTCCCGGATGACGTTGAACCGGAGGCCGTCGAAGAAGGGCCGGCCCGGCTTGAAATAATCGGTGTTCCTTTCGTACTCCCGCACACTTCCCCGGTTCCAATTCTTCAGTTTCCATGGTCCGGAACCAACGATGTTTTCCGGACAGCAGTTGGCGTCTTCCTGGCTCAGGCCCTTGACCGACTGTTCGGGGTAGATCTTGAAATAGTCTACGGCGATGTTGGTCAGGAAGGTCGCTGCGGGGAATTTGAGGGGGACCTCCACCGTCTGGGGGTCAATGGCTCGGGCCGTTTCGCGCTCGTAGAAGGGTCGCAAAGCCGCGGTGCGGCTTCGGATGGCGCCGGGTTCAACGATGCGGTCAGAGGGTGAACACCACGTCATCGGCGGTAACGGGAGTCCCGTCATGCCAGTTGGCCTCGTGCAGCGTGAAGGTATAGAGCGTCCCGTCGGGGCTGACTTCCCATTCCTTGGCCAGGTCGCCGGTGACCTCGCTGGTGTTGGCCGGGTCGTATTGGACCAATTGGCTGAACTTAGGGGCGGCCCCGATGAGGCAACTGAAAAGGCTGGCGCAGTAGTGGACGTCCCACTGGCCGCTGGCGCCCCGGCCCACAACATCAAGCACCATCGGTTTGGTACTTGCCCTGAGCCACCCAATCAGGGGTCAGGGGAGAGGTGAAGGTCTGGCCCCGCAACACCGGAATCGGCGTTGCAGTCGCCACGACCTCTTTGCCACAACCTTGGTCTGTTCTTGTTGGACTTCAGTGACCACTCCCTTGGTCACCTGGACCTCGGTGATGACCTCTTTCTCAATCACTTGGGGCTCGGGGACATCAGAGGCGCCGCCACAAGCTACGGCCAGAATCAGGGAAAACGCCAGGAATATGAAAATCAAGGATCTGGGGCGGCTGAGCCAACTGGTGCACTTCATACTGGACCTCCGTTACCGGTTATTACCGTGCTACGAGACCAGGTGCCTTACGTGAGAAGATTGGCTGGCTAGGTTTGCCCTCCTGTGAGTTCGGCCGCTCCACCGCAAAAATGCGGGGAGCGGCCGGTTAATTCGATGCTGCGGTATCCCGGTTCAAGGCCCGGATGACCGGCTATTTGCCAGTTGTCAGGCTAGTTGTCGACGCAGCCCCTTTCGTCGGGACAGGTAAAATCGGGGTCCCACCAGATGTATTCCCAGTGGTGCAAGTGCTGGATGGAGTCAGGTGTGTTGAAACCTTGGATTCGGTAGTCTATGGCTGCTCCCTGGTCCACCCACGTGTTGGGCACCCAGTGCCCCGTTCCTTCTCGGAGGATTTCCACCATTTCCGTGAATTGGGCGTTGCGGGCGTCCCGGTCCAACTCGCTGGCCTGGGCCTCAATCAACTCACCGAGGCGCGGCATGGTCCAGTTATCCGGGTTCTTTTCGATGTCGCTTACATAGACCTGAAGCAGGATGTCAGCCGGGTCCCGGGTCAGCAGTCCGATGCCGCCGACCATGGTTGCATGGTAAGCGCCCTCCCTGGTTTGCACGTGGTAGGTGGCCGTGTCCACCGGTTTGAGCGTGAAGTCCATCCCCAGGTCATCCCGCAACTGAGCGGTGGTCACTTCCGACACCTTGACCGATGTTGCTGTGTTTCCGGTGTTCAGGTCGAGTTCCAGTCCGTCGGGGTAGCCGGCTTCGGTCATGAGGCGCTTGGCTTCGGCAATGTCCCTGGGGTCTTTGAGTCCGTCAGCGGTCCGCCGGTATCCGGGAATCTCGCTGAGGTCGTCCTCAATGGCGATGGAGCCTTTGGGGAAGTAGGTGGCCGGCGAGGCAAAGCAGCCGTACTCGTCGGTGCAGTATACGATGTCCACCACGTTCTGGCGGTCCAACCCAAGGTGGAACGCCTTACGCATCCTGGGGTCGTCGAAGGGAGGTTTGTTCTGATGTAGGATGAAGAAGGTTCCGGAGCCGGCCAGTAGCAGCCTTGCCCGGACCCTGCCGTTGGTGTCGTCCTGCAGTCGGAACAAGTCCTCAGGCCGGTTGCCAGAACTCCAGGGACCGTCGGTTACGTGGGCCTGGCCCACTTGCAGGGCAGCGTACACCCGATTGATGTCGCGGATGACGTTGAACTTCAAGCCGTCGAAGAACGGCCGGTTCGGTTTGAAATAGTCGGTGTTCCTTTCGTATTCTCTGGCGGTTCCCCGGTCCCAGTTCTGTAGCTTCCAGGGCCCGGAACCCACGATGTTTTCCGTGCAGCAGTTGGCGTCTTCCTGTTGTCAAACCCTTGACTGACTGCTCGGGGTAAATCTTGAAATAGTCTCCTGCTATGTTGGTGAGGAAGGTCGCCGCGGGGAATCTCAAGGGGACTTCCACCGTTGGGAGTCCACGGCTCGGGCTGTTTCGTGCTCGTAAAAGGGTCGCAATGCCGCGGTCGGTCTCCGGATGGCCCGCCAGGCTGAACGATGCGGTCGAGGGTGAAGACCACGTCATCTGCAGTGACGGCGGTCCCGTCGTGCCAGTTGGCTTCATGCAGCTTGAAAGTGTAAAGGGTGCAAGTGTAAGGGAGGAATTACAATTAATTGGCACAAGTAGCAGGGGGGGTGACTTCGATGGTGTTGGCAGGGTCGTATGGGACCAAAATCCGTTGAAATTGGGGCGGGGAAAACTTAAAAACCACGAGAACAATATGAAGGAGATCTAAAAAGGAGGGCGCAGAAGTAGTGGACGTCCCACTGGCCGATGCGGCCCCGGCCTACAACGTTCAGCACCATGGGCTGGTACTTGCCCTGGGCCACCCAATCAGGGGTCAGGGGAGAGGTGAAGGTCTGGCCCCGCAATACCGGAATCGGCGTTGCCGTTGCCACAACCTCTTTGACCACGACCTTGGTCTGTTCTTGCTGGACTTCCGTGACCACTTCCTTGGTCACGTGAACTTCGGTGATGACCTCTTTCTCCACTACCAGCGGCTCGGGGACATCAGCGGCGCCGCCACAGGCCACGCCAGAATCAGGGAAAACGCCAGGAACGCGAGAATCAAGAACCTGGGTCGGCTGAACCAACTGATGCACTTCATACTGGACCTCCGTTACCGGCTATCACCGTACCACCGGACCAGGTACCGAACGTGAGAAGATTGGCTAGGTGTTTCCCCATTGTGGTTCCGGCTCGCTCTAGCCATTGCGGGGAGCGACGGTTAATCCGGTAATTTGGACGCCGACGATATCCCGGCTCACGGCAGGATGACGGCTACTGCGAGGATTGGAGGTTAGTATCGGTTGAAGCCTCTTCCTCGGGACAAAAATGCCGTCGGGATTCCAACCAGGACGTGCTTCCCAGTGGTGCAGGTGCGGATGGAGCAGGGGGTGTTTGAAAACCTGGGTCGGTAGTCTATCGACGCTCCCTGGTCCACCCAAGTCTGGGGCACCCAATGTCCTTCCCCTTCCCGCAAGATGTCTACCATCTCTGAAAATTGAGCTTGGGGACGTTCGGTCCAATCGTTGCATGGAGTAAATCAACCACTGAGGAGCGGAAAGTAGTCCAGTGTACGGGTCTTTTCGCGGGTCGAGTAAGGACACATGTAAC